TCCCCAAGTGCAGTGTGAACTGAAGGAGTGCACAGGTTCATGCTGAAGAGGGCCAAGGTGCTGTGGTTCTGTGCAGCCGGGTATGGTTAACAAGAACCAAGATGCAGCACAATCTGGGTGAAATAGAACTGCCCTTGAAGAGCATTTTAATGAACTTGGAATTGTTTTCAACTGAATCAGAGTATTCTGGTAGTAAAATACTCCAGACTGACATGCTTCCCATAAATCTACAGATATTATTAATAATAGAGTCTGGCAATGAATAGATTGGAAACCAGATCCATGATTCAAAACCCAAATCCACAAGGGGAGGAAGATTTTCTAATGCATGACCCCTGAGATGGTTTCCCCAAGGAAAAAGGGAAATTCACTCTACTGAGTGACCTCACATCCGAGCCCACCACCCTCCCCCCAGCTCTTCCCCAGCCAGCCCTAGAGAATGGAGACCTGGAGGTTGGGTCTCCTGCAGACAGCTGTGAGAGTTCATTTTCCATTTTGCAAACTAATTTTGTTCTTGTCAGTTGCAATGCTCTGCCAAGTGGTAGATGGGAATTTCTAAATCAAAAACCACTAACCTCAAACCACAACCAGCCCGTGTCAAACTTCAGAAACTACTCCCAAACCAGAACGTATGGTAATAATACTCTAACTATTTGTAAAATATTGCCAGGTTTGTCACGTTTAGAAAATTCATAGCACATTTTTGGCACATAATCTCTTCTAAATAATGGCGATAAAGATGTATATATAAAAATGTATGTTTTTAATAGCCCTATTTATTTTATGGATGCAAGACAGTAAGTTAGCTAAATCTCTGCCATCAATCCATATGGCTCAGGTACAGATTAGATCCTTGCAAAGCCAGTTGTTTATGTCTCTTAATCCAATTATGCTGAAAACCTTTGAAATTTATTGAGAAATGGTGCAGACTTTTGAGTTGCCAGGGTATGCGTGTGCACATGTGCGTGTTTTACCTCCTTTAGATGAGATGCCTTATTTCATTGGGGAAAAAAAACACTGAAATGTTTTCAGATTTATGAAGTCAGAAGCATCTCTGACAACTTGTGAGAGTTGTTTCGTTACTTTTGTTGCTTCAACATAAACTAACAACCCCAGGGAAGTGCGAACCTTCACTAGAATTTAAAACTGGAAGCCTGAACCTCCAGGCCCCAGCATCTAAAAGAGTTGCTATGAACCTTGACAGGAGATTAGGACCAAGACAGGGCTGGGGAATGATAACCAAGTCCATTGTGAGGCGATAGGAAAGCTCACAATGAGCTCAAGAACTGACGGGGGACCAGGGGTGGGGGTAGAACGGGGTAAAAGCAAATTTCTGGGAAAGATACCAATGGTCAGGAAGCGAGACAGGCGTGGAATTTTTCAACAAGAGATGAGTCTCCCTCAGAAAGGGCAAATAGAGGCTGCTCCTATGGAAACCCAAATGCTTTTCTCCTTATTTGCACCCAGGTTGTTAAACAGTCTCCACTAATCACAGGTCCACTCTGTTGGCAAAGTGCAACCTCATTCCATCCAGCACTGCCTGATGCACACAGGATCCTAGAGCCAACATATTAGGTCACATTGCCACACCCAGTCTTCAGGTGACATAGAAGTTTCTAACTACATGCCACAAGAAACCTCCCCTGGCATGCTCAGCAGCCCTTTTACTGATCTTCAGATGCTTCCCAGGCTCCATTAAATTCAAAACAAATATTCTCTGTTTTTTTTTTTTTAAGCCCCTAATTCAGTTTTCATTCCCTCTCACCATTGTGTGATTTTCATCATGGAAAAGATGATTCATTGAGTATTTTCACTTAATACTTAGGGGGCTCTTTTGGACACTAAGCTAGTGAATACAAAGTGGTATGGGATAATGAACATTTTCAGATTTGATTGATACCTGACTCAAGCACTTTATAGATGTATGACCTTGCGCAAATGATTTCACCTTTCTGAGCCTCAGTTTGCTCATCTTCAAAATGGGACTAAGAACACACATAGTAGATGATAGATGAAGGATGAAGGAGATCATATATGTACATCCTTAGCTCAGGGCCACTAACATTTAACCTTTGCATAACCTTTCTCTGCCTGCTTCCTGATCATGATTTTCAAAATAATTGCAAGTTCATATAAATTAATTTTCTCAAGGTAGCTTGGAACTCTATTAACAAATGGGTAAAAGTAAATGTACCATGTTGGATGTGAGGCCCATGGGGTACCACTGTAGGAGGGTGGCCCCTTTAAACATATGTCCCTGTTTCTCTTCCCTCCCCAAATATCATCCCACCATAATTGGTCTTCACTTTATTTCTAACTCTTTACACAACACAGAATTCTTTAAAATTATCTCTACATTGTTGGAAAATCTTCTTCCTCCAGATTTGATTTCAGATGCATTCTAATAAGTACATTATTACTTCTCTTAGTCATTAATCAATAAGTCCAAGAATATCATAAATTGAATGTCCACTGTGTGCAGGACACTGAACCCCAAACATGCCAGAGTCATGATGCTAATATTTTTAAGACTTCCAGCATTATTTCATGCCTTGTCAAATGTTCAAATATCCCCCAAATTCAATTCTAAGAGGATTGTCTGACTTAAATTCTTGAGACCTGTTTTTCATCCACTATTTTTTAAATATACACCATTGAATTTGTCCTTATGTTTAAAACTCCAGATCACATAATTCTTTGTGATTATCATCCAACGTCTCTTTTATTTGTAGAGTCAGCAACTGGATGGTGTAGCATAAAACATACTCTACACTGACATTCCTTTTATTTAAAAAAATCACATTTTTCCTAATTGAGACCACTACTTCAATCTCTGGATCTTTTTTGTCCTTACTTATGTCCAACCTTTTCCGATTCTTTTAGCTTTCTCTGCCACTATTCTTCCCCATAAACTCTTACCTAGAGATAAACTGGTTGACTTACTGCTTGGCAAGCAGTAAGTGGCTTCTACTTGTACCCGCTATGTACCAAAATATCCCCTTCCCTCCTCTCTGCCTGTCAGCCTTCTCCCCTTCATTAAGGACCAGGTCAAATCCCATATCTCTCATGAAATCTGTTCTGAGTGTTCACATTGGGAAATGTGTCCTCTCTCCTCTGAATTCCTTTGGGGTTTCTAGCTGAGCCATGAGGCGAAGCTGCCTTGTGACAGATCTTTTTTTTTTTTTAATCTTGATCTGTTTTATTACTTGACATGGTGTGTGCATACTTTCTCTCCTAGTTAGCCTGAAGGGTTCTAGTGGGCAGAGATCATTTCTTCCTCCCACATCCTGCCAATCCTAACATAGCTCTTTACGTACAAGGTGCTACATATGTCCCTGTTTCTGTTCCCTCCTCAAATATCAACCCACCATAATTGGTCTTCACTTTATTTCTAACTCTTTACACAACACAGGATTCTTTAAAATTCTCTCTGCATTGCTGGAAAACCTTCTTCCTCCAGATTTGATTTCAAATGCATCCTAGTAAACATGCTGTTATTTATCTTAGTCATTAATCAGTAAGTCCAAGAATATCATAAACTGAATGCCCACTGTGTGCAGGACACTGAACCAAGTGCTTCTAAGATAAAAAAAAATTAGAAGAAATGGCACAAAAGGGAAAAGATGATAGATGATTGATTGATAGATAGATAGATAGATAGATAGATATAAATCGCTTAACACCAAAAAATATATAAATAGGGCAAATTGATATAATGATAAAGCATTAAGGGCTTACAGAAGAGCCATTAGAATATATTATACTTAATTGGAGAAAAAATTCATTCAGACCCAAGTTTTCAAGGAAAAAGAGGGCACATGGGACCCAGGGAAGCAGGACCCATAATTCTCTTTGCTCACCAGCAGTTTCCCACCACCTATCACAATGCCTAGTCCACTATAAACTTGCACTCAGTGTCCACTGAATACGTGAATGCCCAACTACTGAAAGAAGGAGTAAACCCCATCTGAAGAGACCAGCTCATGCAAAAAGAGCAAGCGTGTCTTGCTTGCAGAAGATCAGATGTATTTTCCTGGATAGAGCCAAGAAATGAAGTGCAAAATAATGGAGAGGAAAGAGAGAAGAAAAATGAGGTAGTCTTGCCAAGATTCTGGTTTCAACAGATAATAATAATAAACACTGTATCATCCATTCATTCATTTGCTCCATAATTATTTATTAAGCATCTACTCTAAGCCACAGCTCTAGGATAAGACCTGGGGATTCCATAGTCTCTGCCTTCAGGGACCATGCAGCCTTTTCATCATGAACTAGTAAGTGGTGGTGTGCACTTGACCCTGGCTATTGTTATTCTAACAGTATTTAGTGCAGGAAAGCAATTTTTCCAGCCTCAGTCATATATGGCTCCAGCAGAAAGCAGAAGCCTTAGTTGAAATGAGCTCTGATATGGAATATGTCATAATAACAGATGATCTGAAGGCAGCAAGAAGGATTTAAAACTTAAAGAACAATTTTTAGCTTGGAAGACTGTCCGGAATTTTTAGAATGGATATTGAGTAGCTGTGGAACAAGACTAAGTTTATTTACAGTCATACACAATTCCAGGTCTGCCAGTTCCCTTGGTTTGGGGTCTAAATGATGGGTTAGGAGAGAGAAAAAACAGATAGGCAGATGATTATGATTTTTTAATGGATTAACATTTTCTTTAACATAGTTCCTTGAGCCAAATTTGAAAGTCGATTTTTCAAATTTAGATCAGAAGATTTAGATTAAATTTAGATGTTTTTCTAAGTTTAGAAACATACCTCTGAGGATCAGATGACACAGAGAAAATTAATTGTAGGGCAGATATAGAAATGAATGAGACCTCAGAGCAGTACTTCCAACAAGGTTTCATGGGAAGACCTTGGTTGTTTTGTTTCTGACACCAGAAATCTAAGATCACAGCCTGGGACTAGAAGACTTTGGCCACGTTTCCCCATGTATCTTTTTTTTGCCCTTTCTTTACTTTTTTTTCTTATTTCTTTTTTTCCCTCCAGGATGATGGCCTCCCAGAAAATGAACATCAGCTGTCAGTAGCTGGAAAGATAAAGAAGCATTTCAACACAGGCCCCAAGCCGAACAGCACAGCAGCCGGAGTTTCTGTCATAGCAGTAAGCATCTGAAATATCCACCTCTAACTTTTTAAAAGCAACCTGCCTAAGAGACAGGCATTACTCAGGAGATTCCACCCAGAAACAGCAGAACAGGTCATTTCTTTAGACAGCTCTACCCACTTAATGCACACGAGGAGGTATGGGGTTTATATATGTGTGTGTGTGTGCAAAATCATTTCCCTGGGCATCTCATCATTATCCAGCACCTCCAGGGTGCCTTGCAGTATATATTAATTTCACAATTTATTTTTTTAAAGCAAAAATTCTCCCCCACACTGGACTCTGTGCCAGTGCAAACTTTTTGGGTCTCAAAAAAGAGAGTTCACTGTGTCCTTTCTCCAGAACCTAGAAGGGAGGGGAAGCTGAGAGAGACAACATAGCCGGCAGAGATTGGGACACCACAGATCTTTATACTAAAGAAAAATACATCAGAAGTTTGCACCATAAGACTGAATTGCTGTGAATACCCAATGAAGTCATGATGTCTTACTCCTTGGAAATTTCTGTTCTTAAAATTTGAAGTCTTTTACCATTTACCATTTTATTGATGCTGCTGCATATGGCCGCCCCCGCCCCCATTTTTCTTTCTGTTCTATACCTGCAGATATAGACTACATGCAATTTGATAGCTGCTCTAGGCAAAGATTAAATTGGGCCAAGAAATAATGAAACCTCATACTTCCTGGTGTCATATTCTAAAGTAAATATATTCAAGTCCCAGATTGCTTGAGTTAATAATTTCCTTTTTTCCAGAGTATGTAAATTTTAATAGCATATTCAATGTGGAAATCACTTGAGCTTTTTTGCTTTTCTGAACAAAGAACTTAAGACACGATGTCAAATTTTTAGAAATTATTTATGCTTTTCAACATTCCTCACGCTCATGAGCAATACCGAATGTTTAACTCCTTCTAAGGGTGTTTCTATTTTCTTTCTTTCTTCTTTTTTTCTTTTTTCTTTTCCTTTCTGGTTTTGCTAAAGCTCTAAATAAAGCTAAAGATAAATAAGGAACCTATATGCTATAATCAATCCCAGATCTGGGTTACTAAATGTTTCATATGGGCTTCCAGAATTTGCAAATGGTACAAATGCTTGCACACTTGCTGTGGTACACTGTGCATTCCATGTTTCTCAGTTGAACCTTTTCAAAAGTGAGTTACATGTGTGTGGGTAACTGGCATATGAGCAAACAGATGGTGCTAAATAGAATCCACACTCTTTCAGATGCTCCTCAGTGCTGCTGAGGTTTTAAAATTTCAAGGGGTTCTTCTTGCCCTCTCTTTAGTTCTTTCTAAGAAAACTCAAATTGTCCTCCACTGTCTTCCATTTATGGTCAGCGTTCTTTGTTACCAGCCAGTGCTCAGTCAATTTTGGCCAGTGACAGTCTCACGATGATGCTCAACTAAATCGAACCACCTCAGCTCTGTTTTCATTGTTCATTCAAGATATGAGTCCATTCCAAAGTGTTTGATTCCAGATGTCCACGATTTTCTTTTGGAATGGGCTGCCAGCACGCTTGTCCATGAAAGGAACTGCTCCTCTGCTCCTACTCAGAGCTTACCACTTCTAGAGAGAGTGCCTTCGCCACCTCTGTCATTTTGTTTTTGTTCTCCTTTTTCCTGGTCTTTTATTTCAATTAGTCTTCGGTTGAGTTTGCCTTGGTTGCTTGATAATGGTCTGTTCGCAGTGTTCTGGGAGTCCTACAACGACTAGGGGCAGAAACTTCAGGGCAGTTTTTCAATTGACAGAGGACAAATACTTGAGGGGAAAATCTTATTTTAATCAAACCTGAATAAATTCTGAAACCTAATATCTATAAGTTTATTAAAACTTCATCTAAATGTCTCTCAAAACATCCCAGTTAGCATTTGAAAATCAAAAGTCCACTGATTTTTGTTTCCTAAGTATGATTGCATCACTTTTGAATGCAGTTTTGAATGCAAATTTCTCAGTTTGTCACTAACATGTTTTCCATAGAAACTGCACAAATCGGTCATATATTTATAAACCGCGAGGTGGCCTGTGTAATGCTAAGTTACACATTTGTCTCATGCTTATTTCATGTTCAGCACCTACCAACTTTTTAAAAGACAATTATCAACTTGACTCAGATTCAAATTAATTGGCTGTTTTTTGGAGAAATGTATCTTATAAAGGGCCTTTGTCAGCTCTTTGACGCGATTCACATGTTAACTGCTATCATTAATATTTCAAGAGAATATCAATGTAAATTTCAGAGGCTGTTTCCCGAGAAGCTGATCTGCCATGTTACGTGAATTTATGCACCTTCTCCAAGGTGCTTTTCTCTCATAAACATCCCTGCCCTCCACAAAGACCCCAGGGAGGTCATGAGTCCCAGGGTGGGGCTGGGAAATAGAAACCCAGCCAGCCGGGCTGCCTTTGTTATTAACTTTCAGAATAATGTTGGATAAGCCCATAAAAATGTTTCCATTCTTAAATGGCAAAGACCAATTGTTATGGGTCTGTCACAAGAAAAAGGAACCCTGGCATTAAATAATATCTCATTTCAAACTTAAGTATGGCTGCTGAACAACAATATTCTGTTGTGAGGCAGAATATAAGTGGAAGGTAGAAGAAATATGCTTTATAAATGGTGTATCCTAGGAAGCCCATTTGACAGCTTAATAATTCAATACAATTATTGGTTTGTCCACATCATAAGAAGCTCAATAATTAATATAACACAGTCGTGACTTCTATCTGATAGAAAAAGCTGATTTCAATGTAGATTTCATTCAGACAGAATTTTTTCCCTAGCATATATGATCTCCCTGGAGACTATAAAATTATGTATTTTATTTTAGATTGCCTCTATCATGGGACCAACTTTTTGGAAATAATGTACACCCTTGGAAAAAAATTCAAACTATTTAGATTATAGTGTCAGTTTGTTTTTGGCAATCAACAATTAAATTAGTCTTTACGAAGATCTACTTCTTGTTCCTTGGTTAGAAACCTCACTACCTACTTATAAGGAAATTCATGACAATTTTTCTCTCTTAAAATAAAAAAAAGAAAAAAAATTCATGACAGACAGACTCGATTCACGGATGTAATTTATGATGCGAGCGTAGTTAAACATGTGCTTATGGTCTGAACTGTAGTGTTTTTGTTCATGTTGTCATTTTTATTTTCCTTCTCTGCTTCCCACCTACTACATTATTAAGACCAAAGAAAGCACAAATGATAACTTTATATGAAGCTCGCATGAGGGCTTCAAGTTGGCTCGGGGAGTAATTACCAGCTGAAGGTTCCCAGGGATCACAGGTCCCTTCCAAAAGAGGAAAGGTGTTCTGACATCGGGTCAAGCAATGTGATTAGGTGGAGACCCGTGGCTATCCTTAGAATTGCAGCATTTTGCCTCTTAGAAAGACTCCATTGTCCCTTTGCTACCTTTCCCAGTAGTTGGGAGATTTAAACACACACACACACACACACACACACACACACCCCAGAGAAAGGGAAACAAAAGGTTATTAAAATGCAATTTATAGACATAAAGTGGAATTAGAGATGACATTTTAACGGTGGACTTTTGAGAGCTGAGGGAGGAGAGGGAGGCATTATTAGATTTGCTCAGCTTGATGAAGAACCGATGACTAAGATGTCAGTTCCAATTTATTTTTCTCCATTTAATGCTGTTTATTATTTTAACCGATAATTTTCCTAATGCTTTAAAGTTCTTATTTTGCATTTTGCTCATGCAAATAGAGCATTTCAGTCTAATTGAACAAATCCATTCTAATCAGCATGCATATGATTGTGATACTGAAAAAAGCTTAGTTTTGAAAAGACCTTGTGCCCTGTTATATGGCATTTTGCCTGTAGATGGCAATGGAGAACCAGTTACTCTGTAGCCATCTTTGTGGCCTAAAACAGAGGCATACACCATCTTCCTAAAAGCAAGTGTCCTTCGATTTTTTGTTGTTTTGTTTTTGTTTTCCCTGAAGAAAAAGAGATATGCATTTTGAAAAAAAGATGAAAAACCTCACGATGCTTTCCATGAACAGTAGGATCACCCAGTGTCTAATCAGAGCATTGAGTCCTCTGTGCAGTTTTTAGTTCAAATGCCTCGTGCACTGGCATGGTTTGCAAATGCCTTTGTGAATTTAGAAGTAGAAACTGTCATGAGCATCACACCAGCGCAGCACTTGAAAGAATTCATGGGCCTCTCCCTAAAGAAATGTGTGCATCCTATCACGGGCAAAATGGGAAAGTGGGCGTACAGCATGATTATTGTTCTCCAGGTTTCGAGATTAAACCTTTTATTCCCAGGTAGTCAAAGGCTAACATCTTATTCCAGGTGAACAATTTTGAGAATTTACCCTGTTCTTCTAATTATTGTACCTTTTGTTAATCATAAGCACTTAACTGTACATATGCCTTTTTAATATACAGTGAAAATTATTTTTCATTTCAATTTATTTGCCTTATTTTCATAGAGAAAAATTACTGACTGTTTTATACTTTATCTCTTTAGTTCAGAAATGTAATTAGGATTCACCTTTAAGAGTAGCTCTGCTTTTGAAGACCAACTCTTAAAGAAATCCAAATTGCTGTGATTTGTGGGGTTTTCAAACCTGATTCTTTCTCTCTTTAATTTCATAGATATGAAGCCCTCAAATTTAAACCTAATGGGGTTTTACTGTTGGGGGGCAGGATGAAGTTCCACTCTGCTTTCTCTTAGGTGGCTAAAGCTGATTTCAGTACTTTACTTAATTATAAAGGCTTTTCTATTTTATGGCAATATGAAAAAGTGTTTAAAACTTTTGAAATCGAGAAGCCAATTAAATGCACATTCGGAAACTTGTTTGACAAACTAGATTTATTCTAACAAAATGGCCTCCAAGATATTCATGAGGGATCAGTGTCTTTTCTTGCCTTTTTGTTTTCAATGTGCAGATTTAAGATATTAGCTAGTTATCCTGCAGAAGAGACATCGTCACTTTATATACTTATGTAGTTAATGAAGAACA